CGGCATCCGCTGCAGAACCTCCAGAGGTGTCAGTAGAGGCTGTCTATGAACTCTCTGCTCGTCCTGTTCCGGCCAAGGAGGCCGTCCATGAACTCTCTGCCTGTTCTGTTCCGGCCAAGAAGGCCGCCGAGGAACTCTCTGCTTGTCCTGTTCCGGCCAAGGAGGCCGTCTATGAACTCTCTGCTCGTCCTGTTCCGGCCAAGGAGGCCGTCTGTGAACTCTCTGCCCGTTCTGTTCCGGCCAAGGAGGCCGTCTGTGAACTCTCTGCCCGTTCTGTTCCGGCCAAGGAGGCCGTCTGTGAACTCTCTGCCCGTTCTGTTCCGGCCAAGGAGGCCGTCTGTGAACTCTCTGCCCGTTCTGTTCCGGCCAAGGAGGCCGTCTGTGAACTCTCTGCCCGTTCTGTTCCGGCCAAGGAGGCCGTCTGTGAACTCTCTGCCCGTTCTGTTCCGGCCAAGGAGGCCGCCGATGAACTCTCTGTCTGTCTTGTTCCAGCCAAGGGGGCCGTCAGTGAACGATCTGCCTGTTCTGTTCCGGCCAAGGAGGTCGTCTGGGAACTCTATGGAGGCCGTTTGTGAACTTTTGTCTTGTCCCGACCCAGCCAGGGAGGCTGCCTCTGAACGCTCAGTCTTGTCTATCAACCCCAATGTTCTGTCTGTGTTGTCTGTCTCTGCTCTCTCGTTACAGTCTCCGCCATGGTCTCATGATCAGTGTGGTTCACCAGGGGGGTTTCCTGTTCCTGCTGAGTATTGTTTAGCCTGTACCCCTTTCCGAGTCTCCGTGTTTTCCTTGTTTTGCCTTGCCTTGCCTGTTTTTGATCTGTGCCTGTTTTCCTGTTTTTTTCCCTCTCGTCTTGCCCCTGTGATTCTGTCTGCCGATCGGTGACCTACACTAGCCCTAGGACTATTCTTGTGTTTTGCCCGCCATATACCTGTTTGCCATTGTTTGACCCTGCCTGTTTTACCCCGTCTCTCTATTAAAAGCTTGCAGATGGATCCACACGTCTCACGTCTCGTCAGCCCCGTTACAACACCCTTATCTATCTTCTAAATATATGTTATTGATCTTATTGTGAATGATTCATCTGTGCATGAGAACTTAGTAAAGAAGAAAAGATCTCTCAATACTTCAAGTTCATTACCATTTCATCTCACCTAAAAAAAAAAGTCACATACACACCAAATAATTTGCATTTGCTAAAAAAGATAACCACAAAGGCCTTCTGGATCAACCATAGAAAGACAGCAAAAGTGCAAGTGAGGACAGAAACCAGTGATTGTATCAATACCGCAATCAGAGAAGCGCTGTTCATAGACTATACACAAACCACAATCATCTGAGCCAAACCAATAATATTTTGACAATTTCATTGGCCCTTGTTATCCCTATTTATTAGAAACCTAAGCAGGGATAATTGTTTGGAACAAATCAATCAAACTTCTGAATTGGCTCCTCCGTCGAGCATCTTCAGTCAGATGTACTGTGTGTTTGAAGAAGCCAATATAACCCAAACTCACGCACACACCAATATACACTGGAAACACCAGCATGCTACTGGAATATGGATGACAGTTGTGATAGAGTCTGTGTGTTAAATAGCTACAGTGTGTGATGCGGCAGATGGAAGATCTACTTCCATCCTGTTTTGAAACTAAAGCTGAAATTGGTAACAACAATCGTGTTCTAATCATTTAAACATAATACAGTGAAGCTGAAAGAGCTGGCTCCCCAAACAATGTATATACAGGTAAAGTGGGACATCACAACATCAAAAACTAGGCCTACTGTTCAAAAGTTTAGGGTTAATAAGATTTTGTAAGATTTTCAAATGTTTTTAAAACATTTTTCAAAAAAAAAAAAATTCTTACCTTCTGAAAATAATCCTCTCCTCCATTTATCCTCCCCTCACTGGCCGCTGTGTGAGAAAAAGAGAGAGACATTTAGATGTCTAACTTTCTGAATGATATTTAAGCAATAAATTATGAGAATCCATGCTATATTGTGAATGAGTCACATTTTAAGGTTGCGGTTTGGCACGATATGAAAGCTTTAATGCTAGATTCACATTCTCAAGATGTATTCAAAGTAAACCACAAAACACACACATACAAGAATCAGGCAGCATTCTCATAACCTGCTGAAACTAACACATATGCTTGTCTTTTACACACACACACAAGCAGCTGTATGCAAGCTCACACTCATGCACTGAGTTATAGATGACAAAAAAACAGTTCATAAATCTTAAAGGGATAGTTCACCAAAAAATGAAAATTTGATGTTTATCTGCTTACCCCCAGGGCATCCAAGATGTAGGTGACTTTGTTTCTTCAGTAGAACACAAACGATGATTTTTAACACAAACCGTTGCAGTCTGTCAGTCTTATAATGGAGGTGAATGGGAATCACGGCTTTGAGAGTAAAAAAAAAAAAAACATACACAAACAAAAACAAATTAAACCCTGCGGCTCGTGACGATACATTGATGTGTAAAGACACAAAACGATCCGTCTGTGCAAGAAACTGAACAGTATTTATATCGTTTTTTACCTCTGATTCACGTAATGTCCGAACTTGTTCGAACTGTCCTGAGCGGCGGCGCGTCCTCCTGAGCCCATTCTCAACAGCAGGCACGTGAGGCGTCTTCTTGCTATCTATCTTCTTCTTCTTGCTACCTATCTCTCAAGTGGACCAAGCGTCAATGGTCCATTTGAGAGATAGGTGGCGGTAATGCACTTATAAGTCTGCGATCCGCCATAAAGCAAGACGACGACGACGCCTCGCCCGCCTGCTGTTGAGAATGAGCTCAGGAGGACACGCCGCCACTCAGGACAGTTCGAACATTGCGTGAATCAGAGGTAAAAAAAACTTTATAAATACTGTTCAGTTTCTTGCACAGACCGATCGTTTTTGTGTCTTTACACATCAATGTATTGTCACGAGCCGCAAGGTTTAATTTGTGTATGTTTTTTTTTTACTCCCAAAGCCGTGATTCCCATTCACCTCCATTATAAGACTGACAGACTGCAACGGTTTGTGTTAAAACTCTTCGTTTGTGTTCTACTGAAGAAACAAAGTCACCTACATCTTGGATGCCCTGGGGGTAAGCAGATAAACATCAAACTGTCATTTTTGGGTGAACTATCCCTTTAATAATCACACTCACAGCATCCCATACAGATAGGGTTGGGTATCGTTCGGGTTTTTTCCGATACCGGTGCCAAATCGATACTTTTAAAACGGTTCTGGTGCCTAAATGGTCCCTGAACCGATACTTTAAAAAAAAACAATTCCCAAAATAGGATGGATTGGCCATTATTGAGCACTATAAACACATTTAATGTCGGTTTCATTCATACCAGAAACTCCACATGAGTATCACAGAAGGAGAAGGTCTCAGGAAATCCCTAATATGGACAAAGGCATTGCTATCGCTGTAACCGAGTAAACAGAAGATATAAACGTTTTGAATGATAAAACAAAGACAAGAAACACTCGACTGCGACAATGTAGGCCTATAGTTTATCTGTGTTATTCAAGCCATCTTTGGTATTTTCATCATAATTAAGTATATTTATAATCCATTGCTAATCGACATAGCCTTTTTACAATATGCTTTTTACAGTATTGAACAGTATCTACCTGCTGCCATCAGAGCAAGTGTAATTGCTGCATTCACACGCTCCTCGGATGCTCTCATTTCCCGAGTTGTGCTTTTAAGTCGGAATGTGAAAACAACATGGACACTCGTGTCGGATTTGTATTATTAGAGCTTTACGACTTGCGTTCATGAATTTTCTTAGTCGGAAAATTATTTTTCACGTGCTATGCCGGTGATCCTTACGTCCGTTTCGGAGAACCAGAGAACAAATATTTCAATCGATCGCTCCAGCATTGGTGGCACCGAAATTAGGCACCGAAATCTGCGTTCTGATTCGGTTCTAGTACATACCGGTTACATAGGTACCGGTGCCAATTATTTTTCACGTGCTGTGCCGGTGATCCTTACGTCCGTTTCGGAGAACCAGACAACAAATATTTCAATCGATCGCTCAAGCATTGGTGGCACCAAAATCTGCGTTCTGATCCGGTTCTAGTACATACCGGTTACATAGTACATAGTACCATATTGGCACCAAGTTTCGGTACCCAACCCTGTGTACAGCATGTGTCGAAACTGCTCTTTGACAATACAAAAAAGTCAATTTAAACTAGTACAATGATCTGCATCATTTATCCAACCATTATCAGACTTCGGATCTCTCAAATATGTAATATGTAATTAAAGTGTGATGTTGAAAAACAAAACTGTTCAAAGACTCTCAGTCAGGTGCGATGAAAACATTGGGTTCACAGGAAAATCTGAGAATTTGTTTGCTTTGGTGGGACGCTGGGCCTCCAGATGTTTGGTTGAGATTGTCCTATCATATAAAATGAAACATTCTTGTGTATGTGTCTACATAGAGGGCGATTAATCTAATAGCGCCAAACCCTCTCCTGCACTTTGCTTTACCTTTAAAGATGAAATATGGATTTCATAGAGAGGTCAGAACAACAAACCCCAAAATGGGAGGAAATAAAAGGGTTGGAAATGGGACAATCTTGTCATCTAAATGTCTTAATGACCCTAAAATCACAAAAAAGCACATCCACCCATCTCTCCATGAAATTCACTACATTTCCTGATCCAAACAAGGAAAGGAAGAGCTACAATTACAAGAAGTGTCCATCTTATTACACCAAGATTTGGTTTGATTTAAACCCTACTTCATTGCACATCATTGCACCGGCTAGTCAATGGAGCAATGCAGGGATTTAGACAGCAATGATGAAATTTAGAGATTCTTTTGGAAAACAAAGAAATGGTATCATCACAATTTTTCAACAGTGTCTGGCATGTGGTGGAGAGAGAGAAAGAGACGGATGAAAACATGGACAGAGAAGTGGTTTCAATCTTCGAAACCCCTGTGTTCCCAAAACAAAATCCATTAAAAAACTTTAATTTACCGATTCCACCTAATTTTAAGCAGAAACATTTTGATTGTACCCGGTTTTAATAAACAAGTTCTTTTCCAGATAACAAGCACAAACAGTGTTAAAGTGCCCCTATTATGCCATTTTTAAGGTTGCTAATATTGTTTTATGAGTCTACTAAAACAGGTTTACATGCATGCAAGGTAAAAAATTTTTAGTTTTCTCAAAAAATAGATTTAATTTGACCTAATTTCTAAATGATTCGTAAACGACTCGTGCGAAGCAGTTCAAAGAATCAGTCTCTCTAAACCCCTCCTTTCCGTGAGCCCTCACTGATGTGATTGGTCAGATGGCGCAGTCCTTTGTGATTGGTCCAGAGCTGTAGAGAGATTGGCTCTGGATTGGTCTACCGCGTACAGCGCGTGTCGGAAACGAAACGCCCATTTCCATGACGGAATGACAACCCTGGAGACTTGTCAATACATAGAAAAGATGGTATCAATTGTACATTACCAATTCGAGCCGGAGTCTGATGATGAAACGGTTGAAGTGGCTGCTCGACAAGAGACTGATTCGCAAGCACGACTAGAGCAGGATGTTTCTCAGTGGTAAGTGTCAAGTGTTAACAAGTTTGTGGTAATTATAAGATGTGATAAACAAATGTACTCTCACAGCGTAGCATGCAGCATCTTCTCGACATGATTTTAACTCCACGGAAATGTTACTGTTTGTGGGCGGGCAAAATGGAGACGTAGAACGTGGGCAGACATTATGCAAATGTGTTACTTCGTGACGTAGAGCTGTAACAAAATAAGATTTGAATTCCTGACGACTCTGTGACGAGAGGGCCGGGGCCGAGAGCCGTGGGAACAGAGTGAGGCCGGTGGAGTAAATGCTAATGCACGACACCTGCGCCACTCACCGGTCTCGAGTCCCACGGAGGAGCTCCGGAAGGAAAAAAGGAGGAGTGACGACAGTGTCGGACGAGAGAGGACCAGGCCTGGACTTTATTTTGTGTTTTGTGTGCGGCAGTCGTCCGCGAGGGGCTGCCGCTTTACTTTCATTTTGTGTTTGTTTATTTTTTTAAAGTTTTGTTTAAATGTTTGCCGGATCCCGCCTCCTTCCCGACCTACGAACGTTGTTACATTGGTGCCAAAACCCGGGAGGAAGGAGGGACGCGCTGCCAGAGATCCCTCGCCGCTGTGGTGAGTCCGTGGTGCCATCAAGCATGGTGGAGAGCAGTCTGCCGCCATGGAGGCGGTGGGCTGGAGTGAGTTGCTGGGGGGGGGCGGATGAACTCGCTGCCGACTGCATGGGCTGTGGAGGGACGGCTGCCATCCGTGAGGGAGCGGAGGAGTCGCCGCCGTTCGCCTGAGGCCGGAGCCTGCTGCCATCCGCCATGAAGGGGAGGAGCAGGGAACGGGGGAGTCATCGCCGTCCACCGGGCGGCAGAGGAGTGTCGGGCCGTCCACCGAGGGCTGTCCAGTGCCGCCACAAACTGCAAACCAAACCCCGCAAAAACGAGCAAACTGGACATTACACAGCCCAGGAAGCAGCGATTGGCCCCATCAATAATTAACTTCAATTACATGAATCATTCATTTCTCCACCAGCCTGGACATGCACCTGTAACAACATATTTCATTACAGACACCGGATCTTAGATCTTTGGAGATGTCGCATTGTGAAGACGCATTTGGGGAAGATTTCAGAGCTCAGTGAAGCACCTGACAGACACGTCGGCGGGGGGGGGGGGGGGGGGGGGGGGGGGAGTAGAGCGCAGTACCTCGTGAGTACCCCCCCGATGGGGGTATGTGACAAGAGGGGCGGGGCCGAGAACTGTGGGGACAGAGCGAGACCGGTGGAGTAAATGCTAATGCACGACACCTGCGCAACTCACCGGTCTCGAGTCCCACGGAGGAGCTCCGGAAGGATAAAAGG